TGTATTGAATTAGAAAATCATATAGATAATATAAATTTGAATGAGGAGTTTGTTTTTTAAATTTTTTTTTTTTTTTTTTTTTTTTTTTTCATTTTGTTGTTTTTTTTTTTTTTTTTTTTTCATATTGTTGTTTTCTTTTTCTCTTTTTTTTTGTCTATATATATATATCTTAGTGTTTTTAAAATTTTAATAAAAATAAAATAAAAAAAAAGCAACTATCTAAATATTTCAACTAAGGGCTACACTGAACTTGGTACCTAGCAGGCAGCTCCTTTAGCTGGTCTCAAACCCAGGTCTGTATAATGACAGCTCTCTGCCATAACCGTTAATCTATATTTAGATGATATTAAAAATTTTTTTTGCTACTCTTTATAATTGTTAATTTAAGTAATGATTTTTCTAATCATAATGCTTGTTTTCACATAGAGCCTATTTATAGAAAATCATTAATAATCTAGCCATATCTAACCTTCTATAATAACTTGTGGTATCAGTAGTGGTTTTTGATAATAAAGTTTTAATTGGTCACTATTTATAGGTTCCTTAAATATTTTTCAGTCTAATGTTTATAACTTGTATACTCCATTGCTTAAAACTTCATGAATATAGTAAGGTCCTTTCCATGGGTCTATTAGCTTTCTTCTTTCTTTTAACTCGCTTCAATATAACAAGACAAAATCTCCAATCTTATATTTAATTATCTCTTTTAAATTCTGATTATGCCTTTTCTTTTGGTACTCCTGAGATCTTTTAATATTTTTTTGAGCTTGTATACGATCTTCTTGTAACTTTCCTATTAATTGATATATTCTTTGCAATAGAGTTTTCTGCTCATCCTCTTCTTTTTCTTGAAATGCATGAGTTTCAACTTGAAATTCTACTAGCAAGATGACTTCTTATCTATAAGTTAAATAAAAAGGTTCATGCCAAGTTGTATTATGTTTTATAGTCTGATAAGCAAATAGTGCAGAAGGTATATACAAATCCTAATCATCTTTGTTTTCATTTGAAAACTTTGCCAAGGTCTTGTATAAGGTTCTATTAAATCATTCGACAAGCCCATTTGTTTGTGGATGATAAGCAGAGGATAATTTATGCTTAACTCTAATTTCTTTGTATAAAGCATCTATTATTTCATTAACAAAATAAGTTTCTCTATTAGTAAGTAGAACTTTTAGACATCCATGCCGACAGATTATATCTTTATAAAAGAATGTAGCAACAGAGTCAGCTTTTGCATTAGATAAGGCTCGAGCTTCAGGCTATTTTGTTAAGTAATCTGTTACAACTACTATATATTTATTTTCTTTATTAGTCATAGATAGTAGTCCAACAATATTCATTCCAATACGATCAAAAGGCTGTCCAACTTTAATTGGATGCAAGGGCTCTGTTCAGATAGGTTTGCCTCTTTGTTGATATTCAACACAAGTTTGTATATACTCCTTAATATTATCATATATCTGTGGCCAGTAATAACGTATTGCTGTTTTTCGATAGGTTTCATTAATCCAAAAATGTCTAGCAAGAGAATCTGAATGCACATTATAAAGAATAATATCAATTTCATTTTGCTTCACATCTTTGAGAGGTCTTGTAGATTCTCTTTTGTTCTTTTTATATAATTGTCCTTCTATAACAATAAAATATCTTGATTTATTTTTAAGAGCTTTAATCTCCTTTTGTTCTAAATT